TTGGACCGATTATGTGAGAAATGAAGAAGTGTTAATTAGAGTCAGTGAGCAGAGGAATATCCTACATGAAATAAGAAAACGGAAGGCTAATTGGATTGGTCATGTTTTACGCAGAAACTGCCTTCTAAAAGAAGTTATTGAAGGAAAGACAGAGGGGCGGATAGAAGTGACAAGAAGACGAGGAAGAAGACGTAAGAAGATGCTGGATGACCTTGGGGACAGAAGAGGATACTGTCATTTGAAGGAGAAAGCTCTAGATCGCATTAAATGGAGGAATTGTTTTGGAAGAGACTGTGGACCTGTCGTCTTGACAGATTACTGATGATGATGATGATCCGACAAATGCAAAAGATCTGATCTGTAGTTGATCTGTTATGTCGAATCCCACACTTATGATCCCCAATAATTTCATCTATATATGGACTTAACCTTGAAAGAAGAATATTGGACAAAATTTTATATGAAGTTGATAGCAGTGACATCCCCCGATAATTACTACAGTCAGTTTTATCACCATTTTTGTGAACTGGTACAATAATAGACTCATTCCACTGATCAGGCAATTTTTCCTTATGCCAAACAGAAGTAATTAGATAGTGGATCTTAGAACGTAATATTTTGCCTCCTGCTTGAATAATTTCTGCTGGAATTTGATCACTACCTGGCGATTTATACTGTTTCAATTTTGCAATAGCACTTTCAACCTCAAAAGGGCTAGGATCAGGTATTAAGGGCTCAGCTGTATGGATTTCTGTCTGCCTAACATCACTGACCCTCTGTACATTCACTAACTGAGAGATGTAGTTCCTCCACCTATTCAAAATGTTGTGGGAATCTGCAAGCAGATCACCATTCTCATCCTTCACTAAGTTACTGCTAGGCTGGGAACCCCTTTTAAAGCCATTTATTCCTCTATACAGGTCTCTAATATTCTTGTTCTTACTGTTCACTGCAAGCTCTTCAATTCTGTCTTTCAGATATTCCCTCTTTTTGTTCTTGAAATGCCTGCTGGTTTCACCTCTTATATTGTTCAGATTATCCCCATTTAACTTGCTTGGATCCTGTAACCATTCATTGCAATTTGGCCTTCTTTCTTTGATCTAACAATTCTGAGCATCCTTCATCTAACCATGGCTTATGCTTCTTCGGTTCATAATAACCTGAACTCTCTTTGGCAGACATTTTTATATTCTCTCTCTAATAGTTTCCCAAGTTTTATTAACATCCACCTCAGTTTCCAAGTTTTCCAAAGCCGCAAACCTATTTGAGATATCAACACAATACTGCTCTTTACCCTCTACCTCGTTTAATTTCTTGAGATTAAACCTCTCTTATGAACTCTGTGTGTTGTTTGTTTGCTTACTGCTAGTCTTTCCCTAACCTTTGCCACCACCAGGTAGTGGTCAGTATCACAATCTGCTGCCCTGAATGATCGGATATTAAGTATACTTGAGTGCCGTCTCCTGTCTATCAAAATATGGTCTGTTTGATTGTGTATCTTCTCATCAAGAGAAGTCCAAGTAAATTTATGGATGTTACGATGTGGGAACATTGTACTCTTGACAGTAAGACTTTTTGATGTGGCAAAGTTTACTACTCTAACTCCATTATCATTATTAATTTCA